CTGTTCGCCTCCCCCATTCCTTTCCTCCTCCCCTCCTTCTCCTCCTTGTTGTCCCCCTCTCCCTCTCTGTCGTTGTCATCCCTCCGCGTTTTCCGTCCCCCGCCACCTCCTCCCATCTCACAATTCCCCTCCCCAGGAGGATGAAGAGAAGGAGAAGGAGTAGGAAGATGAAACAAGTTCAAAGAAGGTGCATCATACAAATTACGCTTGAAGATGGCCGACGCCAACGTGCCTAGTCCTGAGCTGAAAGGGGTTCGAAAGAACAGTAGCGCATTGGAACCAGCTGGTCGCCCATCACCCTGCAGAACCAATGAAGCATGCCGGACGACGCTCGCGCACATACGCATGTGCTTTTATTCTCCAGTCAGTGCTTGCACTGAAGGGATCCTAGCGGAGATTGAAGGATTTGGCAAAAATGCCAAGCCGATTTCGGTGGGCGGCCAGGTTCCCGGGTTCCAGGTTCTGGGTTCCCAGGCTCCCGGTTTCGGCTTCTGGGCCGATTTCGCGGCGGGGTTCCCGGGTTCCCAGGTTCCTGGTCGACCTTCATATCGATCGGTCTCACCATCGATCTCATTACCCACCCCTCTATCGATCTCATTCTCGATCTCACAATCGATCTTCCTATCGATCTCACAATCGATCTCACTATAGATCGCACGAGCGATCTCACGATCGATCCCACTATCGATCTCATTGGATCGACTTTACTATCGGTCTCACGATCGACCTTACAGTCGTCCTCGCTATCGAGTCCACGATCGATCGCACAATCGATCTCAATATCCATACCAATAATTTTCAAACCATCCACTGGTTGTGGTTTTCTCTGGTGTAGCTATATCCGAACACATCACATATACATACCCAAACAAAGACTGCATTGGCGCTTCGCGCCATGCACCTTAGTCCTTCCAATTCGGCATGCAAATGGAAGGAGAGGAAAGCAAACACGTAACAATAGCGATACCGGTTCGTTGCCTTTTCCGACCTCGTCGCTCTGGTAATGTGTCCTTCTCCTTCCCTCATGTTTGTAGAGGTTCCTGTTTGGAAAATCTCTTGGAGGCCTTAAGAAAGTGCTTGAGGGCTTCTTCAAGCCTTCTGGAAGCTTCCTGGACGCCTTCTGGGGGCCTGTGGGAACTTCATCGGGCCACCCTGCTTCCAACATCGGTCTCCCTGAACGACCGGGTCACGATTTGGAGTGCTTAAGGTAGGGGTCTCAGAGCCATCTTGGGCGTCATGGGGCACTCCTCGGACTATCCTGGGACCCTTTGGGCCGTCTTGGCGCTCTCTTGGACCGTGTGGAAGCCATTTGGCGTCGTTTTGGGCGGCCTCAGACATCCCGAAGACTGCAGAACCGATTATTATGGGACATCAGATTATTCGGCGCCGATTATTATGGAAAATCAATGTATTTTGCGCTTCGAGGGCCTCTTGGGGGTATTCTTGTGGGTCGTCTTCGGGCGTCTGGTGGGTGGCTGGGGCCGCTTGAGGCTCTCGCGGGGCCGTTCGGCCGCCCTCCTGATGATATGGCCAGGTCAGGGAAAGCCCGCGGGGCCTTCCGCAGGGGCGCCCAGGGGGTCCCAGGGCCACGGATCCAGGGGGGGCCCATTTCGGGGGGATCCCTCGAGTTTCGGCCCAATAAAAACAAATGGAATGGAACCGAGCGAGAGAGAGAGAGAGAGAAAAAAAAAAGAGAGAGAGAGAGAGACCCAGAGTTTGGCAGAGGCGACAAAACAACGACGACAATACTCAATGACGTGCTCACGAATCCAATTGGCGAAAGAGGCGGAGGGGAAGAACATGGAGAACACGGAAAAAGATAGAGCGAGAGAGAGAGAGAGACACACACACACACACACGGAAAGATTGGGAGAGAGGGAGATTGAGAGGGAGGGGGAGAGAGAGAGAGAGAGAGAGAGAGCCGCAAAAGAGCGGAGAACGCACAATGAGATTGGCAAGTCAGACAAGTGAACATATTCCACGAGCGACGCTACGAACTCTGCCACGCAGTAGATCTGCGTGAGCCGAGCATCCCACGCCCCGAGATGCCAAGCGTCCGAGCAACTACTCTAAGAGCTGCTATAAGTTGATCGCCCCAGGGGCAGTAGGCGACCCGAGGAGGAGGGGGAGGAGGAGGAGGAGGAGGAGGAGGAGGAGAAGGAGGAGGAGGAGGAGGAGGAGGAGGAGGAGGCCGAGGAGGAGGTGGAGGAGGGGGAGGAGGAGGAGGGGATGGAGGAGAAGGAGGACGAGGGAGGAGGAGGAGGAGGAGAAGGAGGAGGAGGAGGAGGAGGAGGAGGAGGAGGAGGAGGAGGAGGAGGGGTCCCCTAAGCCCTTCGGAGTCCCTCCAGACGGTACAAAGCCTCAACAAGACAAGAGAGAATTTTCCCTCGAGCAACGCCACGAATTCTACCAGGTAGTAGACTGGCGTGAATTGAGCATCCCACGCCCCGAGATGCCAAGCGTCCGTGCAACTGCTCCAAGAGCAGATCTAGGTCGATCGCTGAAGCAGAAGGCTCAAATCCCCAGAAAGAACAGATGTGTTCCCCAGGGCGGATGCCACGAACCTCACGCCGCAGTGGATCGGCCCGCGCTGAGCACCCCACGCCCTGACATGAGAAGGCTCTGCTTCGGCCGGCGGGATAAATGGGCGCGGCTCCATCTGCTCGTGCTCCCGCTTCTGCCCGTGCTGCTTGCCCTCCCCCCTCCCCCCAACTCGCCCGGCCATTTACCCCGTCCGACCAGCTGCACCGAGAGCGGCCCCCGGTCGATCACTGAGGCAGCAGGTCCAAGACCTCGGCAAGCCCCCCGAGGGACCCCTTGCCCGTGCGGCCGCGCGGCTCGCTCTGGCGCGTGCCGGCTGGCACGACCCCGCTCGCGCGCGCACCGAGGGAGTGCCCTGGGTGGCGGTCGCGCACCTACGACGACGGCGACGACGACAGCGACGGCGACGACGGCGGCGACGACGACGACGGCGACGACGGCGACGGCGACGACGACGACGACGACGGCGACAACGACGACGGCGACGACGGCGACGGCGACGACGGCGACGACGACGGCGCCGACGGTGACGACGGCGACGACGACGACGACGACGACGACGACGACGGCGACGACGGTCGCGCACCTGCACCGAGGCGGGCGGCCTCGCGGTGCCGCGCGGAGTGCCACCAGAGCCCAGGTGGCCCACGTGGCCTCCCCGCGCCTGCTGCTCGCCCGCGCCGCTGGGCCCGGCGCGGCCGACGGCCTCGAGCCGCAGGGGCGCCTTCTGCGGGGCCTCGGGCCTCGAGCCGGCAGCGGCGGGCGCCGTCGAGAAGCCTGGCGCGACGGCGGGGACGTGAGCCCTCGCGCCAGCGGCGTCGGGCGTCGTTGGAGAGGCTGGCGCGTCGGCCGCTGGCTCCGCCAGCCGAGGGTGCTTTGCGGGCCTGTCTGTCCCCGCACCAGGACCGGCTCGTTTGGGCGCGTGGGCAACTCCAGCAGCAGAAGGGCCCAGCGCAGGCTGCTCCCTGCGGGTCCATGCGCCTGCCTCCGTGGCACTCGCGGCCGCGAGCTGCTCCACGCCAACGGGCTCGAACCGAGCCCACTTGGCCGCATGCATGCGGCAGTAGACGTAGCGCGCGCCCCTTGGCTGAATGGTGCCGGTGTTGGCGCAGGGCGCGCCTGCTCCGGTCCACCCGTGGCAGGTGCCGACGGCGCTCTTCCTGCGCGTCCTCGTCGTGGACCTCTGCCTGCGGGCGTCGGGCCTCCCGGCCCCCGCCTCGAGCTCCACGACCTGCTGGCCAGCTGGGGCGCACGGCGGGGGCCCTCCCCGGGGCAGTGAGGGCCTCGGCGCGGACCTCGTGCGCGGCGGCGGGGTCTTGGCTGGAGGCAGCAGCACGTGGTGCTGGAAGAGGGTGGCGGCGCCGAACCTCGCCGTGCCCTCGTCGGCCAAGGGCGCCGCGCCCCTCCCCGCCGCGCCCGCCGTCCTGGGCCGCTTGTACGTGCACATCGCCTGGAACAGGGAGCCCAAGCCCGGCCCCGCGCCGGGATCGCCGCCAGCGGGCCCGGCAGGGTGGCCCGCCTGGCGGTCGCGCTTCAGGAGCGAGCAGGGCCCTGGGACGATCTGCGACTCGGCGCCCTGCTGGGCCTCGGGCCCTGGGACGATCTGCGACTCGGCGCCATGCCAGGCCTCGGGGTCACCCGCCGCGGCGGCGGCCGGTGGCTCCGGGGCCTGCGAGCTCTCGGGCAGCAGCCAGAGGCGCTGCTGCCCAGGCGGCCTGCGCTGTGCCAGCTTGGCGGGTGTCTCCCCGCTGTGGGTCTGGGCAGGCTGCTGCGCGGGCTCTGCGGCCGCCAGCTCCGCCCGCGCCTCGGTCGCGGGCCGCGGCGGCGGCTCTGCGCCTGGGCAGAGCGGCTGGGCCCTGCCGTCGCGCGGCCCCGCCGGCTCCGCCGGCTCGCGGCCCTTCTGGTCAATTGCGCGGGCTTGCTCCGCTGGCCCGCGGCCACCGTCCTCCCTGGCAGCAGCATGCTGCTGCCAGGGAGGACGGCGGGGGAGTCCTGCAGGCGGCCCCCGCCACTCCCAGGCCACGGGCGGCGGCACGGGTGCCTCCAGCGGGCCGGCGCCCGCGGGCATGCCGCCGCCTGAATGGCCCGCCGCCGCGCCCAGGCCCTGCGGCGAGGGCGCGCCGTCCGGCGGGGAAGGCGGGTCCATGGCCGCGTGCTCCAGCAGGCGGGCGACGAGCTCCCTCTTCTGCCCAGCCGCCTCCAGGCCGCGCTGCTGGCAGAGCCAGCGCAGCTCCCTGCGGTGCAGCAGCGACAGACCGGCCTGCGACGGAGGGCTGGCGGCGGCCCTGGCGGCCGGACTGCCGGCTGCGCCGGCGCCGGCCGCTCCCTGTGCGGCGCCGGCGCGCGGCCAGGCCGCCCCCGGGCGGCCGGTGGAGCCCTCGGCGCGGGGCGTGAGCTGGGCGGGCGAGGCGGCCTCGAGGGCGGCGGCGTGCCCCGCGGCGACGCCTCGGGTGGCCGAGGTGTCCTCCCCGCGCGGGCTGGGCGGCGTCGCCTGCGCCGCGGGGATGCTGTCGGAGAGCGGCGTGTGCTCCCGCGGCGCCGCCGCGTCGGCGTGCGGCACGTCGGCGGCCTCCGCCGCCACCGCCGCGCCCCAACCCGCGGGAGCGCGCCTGGGCGACGTGCCCGCTGGCGATGGGCCTTCCGGCGAGGAGCCCGGCGCCAGCCTCGCCGCGGAGGGCCCCGCCGATGCCGCCTCCGCCGCCGCGGGCGACCCCTCTGGCGCCCTCAGGGGCTCCGGCGGCGGCTCCGCCCTCGGCTCCGCCGGCAGCTCCAAGGACGGCAGCGGCGAGGAGGGCTCCAGCGGGGGCTCCGCCGACCGCCTCGGCGATGGCCCCGGCGACGACTCCTGAGTCCGCCAGCGGGCCGCGGGGGGCGCGAGCGGCTGCCGATGGTAGAGGAAGAAAGAATGGCATAAACATGAACTCTGGGAGGTCCGCGCGGATGTCTTGCATCGGCGCCTGGGCCCCCCTCTCTGGCGCGCGAAGCGCGCCAGGGGCGGCGCCAGAGGCGCCGCCAAGGGGGCCCGGGTGCAGACAAGAAAGCCACGCGGACCTCCGAGGAATCATGCTTGCGTCGTTGTTTGCTCCTCGAGATGGGAGGCCGTGCCGCTCGTCGGGGCGTCGGACTCCTGCGACTGCGACGAGGCTGCCACGGCCAGGCGCTCCGCAAGCGCTGCCTCGTCGGCTGCACGCAAAAGTGACCCTGGGGAAGGGTGACCTTTGGTGCGCGGCTTTTTGGGGGCAAAGGGGCCAAACACAGGCGCGCAAGACGCCACTACCGCATCGCGCTCGGCGATCGGGGGACCCCATTGGGCCCGCACCAAAGGTCACTTTGGCGAAGGGTCACTCTTGCCCAGACATCGGACGCCTTGAGTTTCTCAAGATGGGTTCCCTTGAGGTCTGGACCGTCTCCCTGGGGCCGGCTCTTCATCCTAATTCGTTTCTTGACGGCCCCGAGGCCCAGGCCGAACTGAGAAAAAACGTCGCCTCGAGTTCCTCCAGGCGCTGGAGGTCTGGGTACGTCTATAGTCGATGCCTCGTCTCCCTCCAGCGGGAGCCCGCAGGCGGCGCACGCGGCTTGCAGGGCCTGCAAGGACAGCTCCGTCTGTTGGCGGCGCGCACAAGGGGCTACAGCGGGAGGGGGAAAGCTTCTTGGAAGCCTTTCCCCCTCCCCTCCTCCTCCTCCTCCTCTCGCTCCTCCTTCCTCCCCTCCTCCTCCTCCCCATCCCTTCCCCCATCCTTCCCCTCCTCCCCTCCTCCCCCTCCTCCTCCTCCTTTTCCTCCTCCTCCGTCCTGCCCCTCCTCCTCCTCTCTCCTCCTCCTCCTCCTCCCCCTCCTGCCTCCCCTCCTCCTCCTCCTCCTCCTCCTCCTCCTCCCCTCCTCCGCCTCCTACACTCCTCCTCCTCCTACTCCTCCTCCCCACCGCCTCCTCCTTTCTTCCTCCCCTCCTCTTCTCCTCCTTCCTCCTCCCCCTCCACTCCTCCTCCTCCTCCTCCTCATCATCATCATCCTCCTCCTCATTCCCGTCCTCCTCCTCCTCCTCCTGCTCCTCCTCCTTCCCGTCCTCCTCCTCCTCCTCCTCCTCTCCTTTTTCTTCTTCTTATTCTTCTTCTTCTTATTATTCTCATTCTTCTTCTTATTCGTAGTATTATTCTTCTTATTCTTATTAGTCTTCTTATTCTTATTCTTATTAGTCTTATTCTTCTTCCTATTATTATTAGTATTAGTATTAGTATTATTATTAGTATTATTATTATTAGTAGTATTATTAGTAGTAGTATTTTTATGATTATTATTATTCGTAATCCTCTTCCTCTTCTTCTTCTTCGCAATATTTTTATTGTTACTACTGTTAATATTATTATCATTATTATTATTACTATTATTAGTATTATTAGTATTATTATCAATAATATTACTACTATTATTAGTAGTAATAGTATTATTATGGTTATTATGTTTATGATGATGATTATGATGATGTTGATGATTATTATTAATAGTATTAGAATATTTATTCATAGTAGTATTATTATTAGTAATATTATTATTAGTATTGTTGTTGTTGTTGTTGTTCCTCCTCTTCTTCTTCTTCTTATTATTATTATTATTCCTCTTCCTCCTCCTCCTCCTCCTCTTCCTCCTCCTCCTCCTCCTCCTCTTCCTCCTCCTCCTCCTCCTCAGTGTCCTCCTCCTCCTCCTCCTCCTCCTCGTTCTCCTCCTCCTCCTCCTCCTCCCCCGCCTCCTCCTCCTCATCCTCCTCCTCCTCCTCCCTTTCCCTCTCCTCCTCCTCCTCCTCCTCATCATCATCCTCATCCTCCTCCTTTTCTTCGTCTTATTGTTCTTCTTATTCTTATTCTTCTTCTTCTTCTTCTTCTTCTTCTTATTCTTCTTCTTCGTATTACTATTATTATTATTATTATGATTCTTCTTCTTCTTCTTATTATTATTCTTCTTCCCCCCCCCCCCCCCAACACATTGCCCCGTCCCGTTTAATATTCCTTCGTCTTCTTCTATATATTTTGATTATTATTCCCTTCGCCTTCTCCTTCTCCTTTCTCCTTCTCCCCACCTCCTTCCTCCATCCTCCGCTCCTCATGCTTCCTCCTCCCCCCCTCCCCCCTCCTTCCCCTCCACCCCCTCCGATCTCCTCCCCTCCTCCTCCTCCTTTCCTACCGCCTCCTCCCCTTCCTTTTTCTTCCTCCTCCTCCTTCACGCCTCCCCGTCCTCCTCCTCCTCCTCCCCTCCCCTCCCCTCCTCCTCCTCCTCCACTCAACCGCCTCCTCCTCCTCCTCCTCCCCTCTCCTCCTCCCCTCTCCTGCCCGTCCTCCTTCTCCCCCTCCTCCTCCTCCTCTCCTCCTCTCCTCCGCCTCCTCCTCCTCCTCCTCCTCCTCCTCCTCCTCTCTCCTCCTCCTCCTCCTCCCTCCTCCTCCTCCTACCTCCCTCCTCCTCCTCCTCCCCTCTACCTCCTCAAGCCTCCTCCTCCGCCACCCCCTTTCTCCCTCATCCTAATCCTCCGCCTCATCCTCCTCCTCCTCCTCCTCGCCTTCTCGTCCTTTTCCTCCTCTCCTCCTCCTCCTCCTCCTCCTCCTCCTCCCTCCCTCCTCCCCTCCTCCTCGTCTCCTCCTCCTCCTCGTTCTCCCTCCTCCTCCTCCCTCCTCCTCTCCTCCTCCTCCTCCTCCTCCTCCCTCCTCCTCCTCCTCCTCCTCCGCCTCCTACCTCCCCCTCACTCCTCGTCCCCCTCCTCCTCCCCCTCCTCCTCCTCCTCCTCCTCCTCCTCCTCCTCCTCCTCCTCCTCCGCCAGGCCCATTGTGGTGACACGCAGTGCGGACCATGTCCTCGCTTACTGCGCCAAGCTCGGGCGGCGCCGGTGCACCCAACGCGGAGTCACGGCCACAACGGGCTCTTCCCTCGAGTCGCTGCAAACTGGCTCTCATCGTGCACGTCGCCCTTCGCGTGTTGCCAGAGCTCTCAACGCCGAATACTTCCGCGCCTTCGGCGAGGGCTGGGTTCTTTGCAGCGACCAGAGGGCTGGCATGGCCCTGAGCGCGGCCTTGGCGCTCGAAGGGAGCTCACAGCCCTCGGCCCCCGCAGCCTTGTTGCCACCTTCCCTGGCCGAGGAGGTCGGGGACGAATCGCTGCGCTTGCGCACGACGTGTTCAGGGGCAACAGTGTTTACTGTCGCAGGCGTTGCGGGTCTCACTGTGCTGCGGGAGATGTCCGCACAGTGCGGAAGCTTTGCTTGAGGTGCGATGGGCTCTCGCACAACGATCCACGCGCCGCAACGAGCAAGATGCGATCGGGCGCGTCGAGAGGGGCCTGGCACCTCGTGCCCGACGTACCCCAGCAGCGCCGCCCCCGCAGGGGGGGCCCTCTAGCAGCCACGCGGCGCGTTGATCGACCATGTCGTGATTCGCTGCCGTTCCGTGGTCGGCTGGTGGCACGGCATCTTCTTCGGTGGCGACGCCTCCTTCGTCGGCGGCAAGTTGGCCTGCGTCCGCGGCCTTGAGGGCGACTTCTTCCTGTTGCTTTCCTTCTACATTGCCTCCTGCTCTGACGGCACCGTGCCGTGAGTAGGCGGCGCCACGGGGTAGTCCGTCGCGCGCCCGCGTGCGCGGCGGGAGACCTTCCTGAGGCGCTGCGCTCCTCCTCCTCCTCCTCCTCCTCCTCCTTCTCCTCCTCCTCCTCCTCCTCCTCCTCCTCCTCCTGTTCCTCCTCCCCCTTCCTCCCTCCCCCTGCTCCTCTCTCCCCCTGCCCCCCCCTCCTCCCTCCCCGTACCCCCCTCCGCGCGTGGCCGAGCCTGGCTGCTCTGCGGCGCCGCACCCGGGCCCGCTGCCGCGGAGCCGGCCCCCTGGCTCTGGCTGGCGGCGGCGGCCTCTGCCGCGGCGGGCCCGCCGACCTTCGGCGGTTTGCCCGCAACGGTGGCCCGAAGGGAGGTACCCATCGGTCGGAAGAAGTAATTAAGCCCAGACATGATCGCGTCGTGAAAACATCAAGACGGGAGGTTTTTAGCAATTTTCGCCCTCTGGAGGTCCTCACGGGGCCTCGGGACCGTCAAAAAAAGACCCAGGATGAAAAACCGGTCCCAGGGAAAGGGTCAAGACCTCCGGGGGTCGACATCACGAAAAATCACGACGTCTGGGGTCTGGGATGGGCGACGGGTGCCAATCGGTCGGAAGAAGCGGGTAGAAACATGAAGCAGGAAGGCGTTGAAAATTGATTGGGTTCCCTCCGCCCCCTGAAGAGAGCGGAACAAGGTGAAGCCACTCGATCATTGCAGCAGGAAGGCGCTCAAAGTAGATCGGAATCTGTGAATCCTAAAATACCTACTTTCGACGACCGATGGGCACCAATCCCCACCCAGAGGCCCAGATCCCCCCAAGGCAGGTTCCCCATCCTGGACCGGCGCAAGCCAGGGCGGCTTGGTACCCCTCAGAGCCTGGCGTCCCAATTCTTCCGAGCCCGGCGTTCTCGCCCTTTCTGTCGGGCCCCGGGGGCCCTTGCAGATCGAGCCGGCTCGACCAATGAGACAGATGGGGTCCAGGTGGCTTTTCACGGTGCTGCATTCTTGTTCGCTCCGTCGGACCTCGGGGGCCCTCCGTCGAGACCTGACGACGCGGACAAACACAACATCCGAACAGATCCTGACAAGAGCCCTCGGACCCCGTCTCTCTCTCTGCTGCATCTGGTCGAAAGTGATCCATGTGTGAGGGCCCCAGGGCCTGAAATGGTGCGAGGCCGCCCGCTGCGAAAAAAATGCGACGCCAGGACCTCAGGACTTCCTGAGACGGCCGCGGGCGACTCTCACAGCAAGTCTCAGAAGCCCTCCTACCCTCTGGGAGGCCTTCCTGGAAGCCTGCCCTCTGAGAAGCCTGTGCGACGCTGGGATCTCCGGGCTTCCCTGGACGGCCGCGGGCGAATCGCAGAGCAGGCCTCAGAAGCCCTCCTGCCCTCAAGGAAGCCTTCCTGGGAGCCTGCGCGCCCCCCCCCCCCGGAGTGCGCGCCCCTTCTGAGAAGCCCTCCTGGGAGCCTGCGCCCCCACACCCACTCCTCCCCCTCTTCCCCCTCCTCCTCCTCCCCCTCCCCCTCCTCCTCCTCCCCCTCCCTCTCCTCCTCCTCCTCCTCCTTCTCCTCCTCCTCCTCTTCCTCCTCCTCCCCCGCCTCTTCCGTCCTCTCCGCCTCGCTCCTCCTCTCCTCTCCTCCTCCTCCCTCCTCCTCCTCCCCCTCCTCCTCCTCCGTCCTCCTCCTCCACAATACACAATATGAAAATACGTTCCCACTTCCCTGATGGCGTCCCGAAGATTTCCGTCCCCCCCCCGCGTATTGTTTTTTACACACAGGATTCCCCGGAGTTGGGTTTTCGACTGCATTTTTTTCAAAATGCTGCTCTCGCTGAGGCGCCGGCCTCATTTTCGGGCCCCGCTCGTTCCGAATCGTGCTCCCGCTGCAGCGTGGGTCTCATTTTCGGATCGGTGTTTTGCCTCCGTCGTTCAGGATGGCGTTCTCGCCCCAGCGCGGCCTCTTTCTCGCGCGCCCATCCGCCCGCCACCACCGCGCCGCACCACCACCACCACCACCACCACCACCAACCACCACCACCACCACCATCACCACTACCAGCATCCAATCACCAGCACCAGCACCACACAGCACACACAGCAGCCACAGCACACAACCACCACAGCACCAACAACCAGCGCCAGCCCCAGCGCCAGAACCTGCACCACACAGCACAGCACCACCCCACCACCACAACGCACGCACGCACGCACGCACGCACGCACGCACGCACGCGCAAACAAAGAAGACTTCGCACTGCGTGCGCGTGCACAGGTCACGCTACGACACGCGTCCCGCGGATAGAAAAATCAGCGCCATGAAGAGGGAGGGAGGGTAGGACGTCAGATAGACCGAGCGCACAGCTTGTCCCCCTCCCCCTCCTCCCCCTCCTCCTCCCCCTCCCTCCTCCTCCTCCTCCTCCTCCTCCTCCGCCTCCTCCACCTCCTCCTCCTCCCCGAGTCCGAGCCTCAGAAGCCCTCCAGCCTTCCAAGAAGCCTTCCGAGAAGCCTTCCTGGGAGCCGGCGCCCCCCCCCCCTGGTCACCCCTTGTGTGCGCGCCCCTCGGCCGCGGCGGGCCCACCGACCTCTGGCGCCGCGCGCACGAGGTGGAGGGCAGAAAACCCACCCCGAGAATAACCACCCCGACACGCGAGGCCGTTTGGTAAACGCACCCAAAGAAGGCATCAAGCAGGGCAGAGCTGTTTCGTAAACGCCCAGGGCCGTTTGGTGAACGCCAGATCGTCGGGTCCAGGTGATTTTTCCTCCCTCGACAAGGGGGGCGGCACGAGGGAAGGCTGCCATCGGTCCAAGAGTAATGGGCCGAGACACGAAGCGGGACGGCGCTGAGAGCGCAGATCGCTTTTTGTCCACCCGCCCCCTGAAGAGGAAGGGCCAGGCGGCCAGGGAAGAACCACTCGACGGCTGAAGTAGGAAGGCACCCAAAGCATACTGGAATCGGGGAATCCAGGAAAACATAACTTCAACGACCGATGGAGAACCTTCTGAGACGGCAGCGGGCTTAAGCGCAAGCCTCATCCAAGAATACATACTGTCAACGACCGATGGAGAACCTTCTGAGACGGCAGCGGGCTTAAGCGCAAGCCTCAGAAACCATCCTGCCTTCGAAGGAACCATCTGGACCCTCCTCAGCCATGCGATGTCTTGAGTCGTTCGATACTGGGTCCGACCCTTTCCCCGAGGCCGGTCTACCCGAGTTCCCCGCGAAGGCGAATCCCCTGGTCCTGGGGCCCGGCGCAGGCCCCCTGAGGCCGAAAACTGCAAGAAACCTCACGTCGTCATTCTTAACAGCGCAAGCACATCTGGGTTGCACGATGCACCCTTGGTTCCGTGAAAAGGAACCCCTAGCCACTAAAACATGACTGCCCATGTTGGGCATATATTGGTAACTCTCTGTCGATCTATGGGAAATCGTTAGCCACTTCTACATCGCAGAGCGGGGGGTGGCGCTGTTGAGGGGCACACCACGCCTCGACAAAAACCTTGCCCCAGTTTGTGGCCGCCGCGATCTCCCCGGCGACCATCCAAACCGGTCTGGAGGCTTTGGCTCGGGGTGGGATCTCACGCGGCGAGCCCTGCGCCACCCCCCTCGCCACAACCCCCTTGCTCGCGCCCGCCGAGGCCTGGGACGACGGCACGGCCAGCTCCGCGAGCAGGGCCACCAACTCCGACTTGCTGCCCTCGGCCGGCAGCTGGTGCCGCCGGCAGGCGGCGCGGAGGTCCTGCGTGGAGGAACAAAGAAAGGCATACACACAAACTTTCGGCGACGCGAGCAGGTTTTGGGGATCTGCGCTGGGTCCTGGCGCGCGGAGCGCGCCAGGGGCAGCGCTGGAGGCCAACCACCAGGGGGGCCCAGCGCAGACCCAAGAAATCTGCGCGGAGCGCCAAAAGCTTGAGCATATGCCCTTTGTTTGTTCTCTGAGGTCCCGCAAGGGCATCGCCCGGAGGTCGCGGGCGACGATGGCCTTGGGCGCGAATTACTGGGGGGGATGAGTAGATGGGGGGGGCAGCGAGGGCTGCCGAAGAGGGGCCCTGCAGGGCCCCTAGAGGCGGCTCCTGCCTTCCAGGGCCCGGAGGGGCTCTTTTTCTGCAGCCCTCGCTGCCCCCACCCCCCTCATCCCCCCCCCCCCATTACTTCGCGCCCGAGGTCGCCAGGATCTCGTTGGCTTTCGCCGGGTCGCCGATCGGACTCAGCGGCGCGGGCTCTGGCGCAGCGGCCCCTCCCGCGGCGGCGGGCGGCCCGCCGCGCCCGGCACCGGGCGGCGAGGGGGCGGAGAGCGCCTGGGGCGATGGTCGTCGTCGTCGTCGTCGTCGTCGTCGTCGTCGTCGTCGTCGTCGTCGTCGTCGTCGTGGTCGTGGTCGTGGTCGTGGTCGTGGTCGTCGTGGGCTGCTTGCTGCACGGGGCGCAGCAAGCTTCGCCGTGTGGGCCCTTGTCGAGACGGTGCTTGCCTGCACTCAGGGGCTCTCGTCTGGGCCTCTGAATACTCGGGCGCGTCTCCGCCGAGGCTTCGCCCATGTTCCCGCCCGTGGGCGCCTCGGGCACTGCCGAGGTTCTGCCACACTCCCGCCCGCGGGCGCCTGGTCGGCACCCCGTGCCCGTGGTTAGCGTAGCGCACACGACATAGCCAGTCGGCATAGCTCACATTGCATAGCTAGCAAAACGTAGCTCTCACCACATCGGCCACACCGCATAGCTTACACGCCATAGCTCACACCACATAGCTTGCAGAAACACAACTTACGCCATATAGCTTACTCCGCATAGCTTACATCACATAGCTTAATTACTCGGAATAGCTTTCACCTCCACATTGCAATGACTCACTGTTTGGGGTCTACGCTGGTTCACATGATTCGTTCATCAAGGGAACCAAATTCTCAATGCATCTGGCCCCCTTGTGGGGCCACCAGGCCGCAGGGTGGGGACAACCTGCTCCCTGCACCAGTTGCAGTTTCAAGTCTCCAATGTTACAATCCTGCTTTCTGCTTCCTACTCTAAGTTATTGAGTCCGCGCGAAGGGGGGGGAGCCCCAAACCGGCAATTTACCACGCCGAAATCGCGTGGCCTGAATTCCCGGGGGGGCGTGGGGCACTTAAAAATACGCGAAGTTCGCGCCCTCGAAAACAGAATCTCTCGTACATTACGCAATGTTCGCGTCCCCGAAAACACAAACCCTGTACATTACACAATTTCTGCGCCCCCGAGGCAACAAACCTCAGCAAATCACGCCGTAATCGCGTCCCCGAAACCATAATCCACTGTAAATTTCAAAATATGAGCATTCCCAAGGCCACAAACCCTTGAATTTGTACAATTATTGCATCCCCGAGGAAACAAGCCTTCGCAAATTATGCAACAATTCGCATCCCCGAAGCCATAACCCCTCGTACATTACGCCATGTTCGCATTACCGAGGCCAAGAGTGCTCTAAGGTGCCCGGAGATGGTTCCAAGACGGCCCAAGAGGGCCCCAAGAGGCCCCAAGTGCGCCTCAAGAGGCCTCCCGAGAGAGCCTGAAGAGGCCAACATCGTAGATTTTACTAAGGTGTTTGAAGGATTTCGGCTTTCTCACGCTCCAGGACGGCTCAAGAAGCTCACAAGACCGCACCAAGACAGCCCAAGATTCCTCCAAGAGGGCCCCAAGATGGCCCAAGAGGGCTCCAAGATGGCCCAAGAAGAGTTCCGAGAAGCCCCGAGAAGCCCCCAGGAGGCACCTAGAGGCAGCCCATAGGCCTCAAGAGCCCCCAAGAGGCGCCGAAGACGCGCCTAAGAGGCCTCCAAGAGGCTCAACAGATACCCCAGGAGGCCCCCAAGAAGCGCCCAAACCGCCTCCAAGAGGCCCACGCAAGACTCCCCACAACACCCCAACACATATACAAGAGGCCTCAGACCCACAACCCAGGCACGGTAGGGGGATGAGCCGAAAGCCACTAGGGTAACGCCAACGTCTCAATATGCGCTGATGACTCCTACCCGCCCTCGCATCATGATGTTCCCAGATGCGCCAAGGCAGCGCCGAGACGCACCGACGCGACTCTGGTATTATGATAGAGAGGGGGCTGGCGGCAGGGGGCGAAGCCCTTACGGATAAACTGGCCCTGACCTGAACCAGAACCCGGAATCCGGAACTTACAACCATGACTGTATATCTACTCCGAGTCGGAAGCAGCAATCCTTGTCATGAGATCGAGCCAATGGCCTTGAGAGTGCCCATGAAAGTCGACCGCTGGGACCCAAAGTCCTACCCGAACCCAACCTCTCTCCGAAGCCCGCACTCGATCCTAAAGCCTTAGCCCTGACCCTAAAGCCGACGCACTTCGCCAGAACACCCAAACCCCAACCCTGGCCCTCGTCGTGACCCGAAGCCTCTGTCCTGAGCATTGCCCTCCCTCTTCTGGCTCCTCGTCCTGCTCCGCCTCTCGGGGATGTACATAACCCCCTTTAGCAAAACGTGGTTCAGCGAAAATGACCTCGGGCCCAGACCTGGCGGGCGCAAGCCTGGAAAATGACGGCCGCGGCGCCCTCTCGAGAGCCGAAAACGGACAATTCACTAATCGACGTGTCAGGGAGGGGGTTCTGCCCACCCCCGATCCTCCTCCGACTCGTGCCCCCCCTCACCACGAGTGTCGGGGATCTTCTGACCCAGGTCAATCCAGACCCGGGTCAGCCAAGCCTTGCAGAATCCTGCAAGATCCTGCAAGATCCTGCGCCCAAACCCGGGTCAATGCGAAGGATCCTGCAGGATCCTGCAGGATCCTGCACCCAAGCCCGGGTCAATGCGCCCCTCGCCCTGCAGGATCCTGCAAGATCGGGCGCTCTGGCTGACCCCCGCTTGCGTTGACCCCCATCTCAAGGCTCCCGAGAGTGCTGGAACGCCTGGGCTCCGGCCAGGGCTGGCCAGTCGAGGCCCCTCGCCCTGCAGGATCCTGCAAGATCGGGCGCTCTGGCTGACCCCCGTTTGCGTTGGCCCCCATCTCACGGCTCCCGAGAGTGCTGGAACGCCTGGGCTCCGGACAGGGCTGGCCAGTCGAGAACCCTGGCCCCGCGACCGCAGCACGACCCTCCGAGGCCGTGCTTCCGAGCAGGCCGGACGGGCCCAGCGCCGGCAAGCTCTCGCAGATCAGTGGAAGAGAGGAGGAGGAGGAGGAGGAGGAGGAGGAGGAGGAGGAGGAGGAGGAGGAGGAGGAGGAGGAGGAGGAGGAGGAGGAGGAGGAGGAGGAGGAGGAGGAGGAGGAGGAGGAGGAGGAGGAGGAGGAGGAGGAGGAGGAGGAGGAGAAAGAGGAGGAGGAGGAGGAGGAGGAGGAGGAGAAAGAGGAGGAGGGGGGGAAGGAGGAGGAGGAGGAGTGGAACATCAGGGGGGGGTCTTCCGAGCGAGCCAGTCTGCCCCACAGGCGGCGGCCCGAGGCCTCCCGGCCACACCCTCGGAAGCATGCGCACACGAGCCCGACTGGAACAGACGAGAGCGGATCCCTCCCAGGGTCAGGAGCTGTTGCTCGGCCTGTCGCGGCGGCGGCCCCGATGATCGAGCAGGGGATCGACTGCAGAATTGATGTACCGCAACGTTCAGCTGTCCCGCCGAAGTTGCGAAGCACACGCAAGCTGTCTCGTCGATTCACGGGCCGCTCCACGTTTCTTTTTGGTTCCGAGATTCGGCGGGGAAATCCAGTTTGGGGTACATCAATTCTGCAGTCGACCCCCTACTCGAAGTGATGCGCTATGCCTTGCCTTGCCAGTGGATGGCGTGTCGCTGCGCTCTGCCAGGCGGGACGTCGCGATAGGCTCGGGACGTTGACGCCTGGGGACTGCAGCGTAGACAGCCGCGCCGAAGCGCGGCGGGCCAGGACCGGCGGGGCGACACGCCAAGCAGAAGCTCCGGACATTACGGCTGGAGCACCCCCCCCCCCGACCCACCCACATCCCAAACATCGGGCGCGCCAACTTCTTCGATGCGTGGACTCCCAGAGGTCTGGGCCAAGTTTTCATCCAGATATCATGGACGGTCCCGGGGCTCTGGGCTCTGGGCCAGGCTTTAGCCCGTCGACGGCCCCCGGAGGCCAGAAATAGCAAGCGACAAAAAATGCCGCTCCGATGTGTACGTGTCGGAGCCTCGGAGCTCTGGGAACAATCAAGCATCTCCCCCAATGACAGAAGCCAAAACGCCAAGCTCCACATGGCCTGCTCCGGATCGGCGGCCGACGCCGGCTGCTGGCCCGCAGCCTGCAAGCCCTGCTGGTCGACCACCAGCTCCATAAGCCTCTCGACCAGGTCGTGCTTCGTGCCCCCGCTCGCCAGGCCGTGCTCCCTGCACGCCTTCCGCAGCTCGCGCACCGGCAGGGTCGAGAGGTCCTCCACCAGCCCTTCGGCCCCCGTCGCGCCGCCGGGCGC